CGCACCGGCCCCGGCCGCCGCCGCCGCTGCAGCCTCCGCAGCGCCTCCTAGTGAGCGGACGGAAACTGCAGAGGGCCAAACTTCTCCTGATTGGCCCGGCGCGCGTGCGGCGTCCCCGCCCCTTTGGGGAGATCGCTGGCGGGCACTGGCCGGGCGGGCGGGGAGGGGGACTTGGCCTCTTCTCTAAGGGCCTGTGGTCAGATAGAGATTTCCATGGAAAAACTCCCAGGATCTAGGCGGGCGGCCGGGGCTCATGTCTCTAATCCTTGTTACTCAGGAGGCTGAAAATTGAGGATCGCAGTTCAAAGCCGGGAGACTCTTTATCTCCAATAAAAGGAAGGGAGGGAGGGAGGGGAGGGAAGGGAGGCGGAGGAGAAAGAAGGAAGGAGAGAGAGAGAGAGAGAGAGAGAGAGAAGCAGCAGCAGCTGGAAGTTGAGCTGTGGCTGAAGCGGTAGAGGACTACCTCTGAACAAAAGAAGCTCAGGGACAGTGCCCAGGCCTTGGGCAAGAAGGTTTTAAAAAAAAGCAAAAACTCCCAAGATCCTAGAAATGGGCAGCGCTTAGCCAGAGAAAAGTAAAAGGTCACCTCTAAAAGTATAAATGAGCCAGGTGCAGGTGGCTCACACTTATAATCATTGTTACTTAGGAGGCTGAGATCTGAGGATCCTGGTTCAAAGCCTAGCAGAGCATGAAAATCCATGAGACACTTATCCCCAATTAACCATCCAAAAGCCCAAAGTGGAATCATGGCACAAATGATAGAGCACTAGTTTATTGCCCAGGCCCTGAGTTCAAGCCCCAATACTGGCACCAGAAAAAAAAAAAAAGTAGGTTCTGGCTCCTAAAATGAGAAATTGGACTTCGGCTTTGATGTTGGGTGGGTGTTGGCTTGTAATCCCTGCACTAGGGTGGGGCAGGCAGTTAAGATCACAGAGTTCCAGTTTATGCTATGGAGCAAGTTTAATACCAGCCTGGATTACTTAAGAGACCCTACCTCAAAAAGAAATAAATAGGACTATACAGAGTATACATACTGCATTCACAAAAATAATCAAATCTTCATAACCTTGTAAGGTAATCCCTATTGCTGTCTCCATTTTAACAGATAAAGAAGATAAGCTATTACTTACTGTGTTCCTGCTCTGAGCCAATCACTGGTTTAAGATCCTTGACATTGGCTGGGATTGTGGCTCAGTGGTAGAGTGTTTTCCTAGCATGCATGAAGCCCTGGGTTTGATTCCTCAGTACCACATAAACAGAAAAAACTGGAAGTGGCTCAAGTGGTAGAGTGCTAGCCTTGAGCAAAAAGAAGCTCAGGGACAGTGCCCAGACCCTGAGTTCAAGCCCCAAGATTGAACAAAAAAAAATCTTTTGACACCTTGCCTTGCATAATTTCATAAGGACCTTGAAAAGGAACTACTTTTATTCCTAGATAATAGCTGGAGACCTTAGAAGTCGCAGATAAAGAACTGCAATCTAGCTGAAATCTGGTGGCTCACCTCAATAATCCCAGTACTCAGGAAGCTGACATCTGATGATCATGGTTTCAAAGCCAGTCAGGCCAGAAGAGTCCATGAGACTCTCATCTCCAGTTAGCCACCCCCCCCCAAAACAACAACAACAACAAAAAAAAAACCATGGAAGTGTAACTCAAATGGTACAGTGCCAGCCTTGAGTGGAAAATTGTAAGGGACAATATTCAGGCACCAGTACCAAAATACACACACACACACACACTATAATAAAAAAAAATGAAGAGAGGGGAGAGACAGAGAAAAAAAGAGAGAAACAGAAATATCTAATTTAATGGAGTCCAAGGCAGCATTCTAACCCACTGCATCACTGTGGTTCTCTGGGAACAGGTTCTGAAGCTGGTCTTCCTTCAGTGTCACCCTAGATTTTAAGCAGCAGATCCTTTAGTGGCCATCCTAGCAATAAGCAGCTTTCTTTCTGCTTGCTGGTACAATGGCCTCTTCAAGGCTTCAAGGTTCTGTGTCCCAGCATGGAGTTGCTGAATTGCCATGAGCAACTAGGAAGGTATGCTGCAAGATTTTGATCAAGTAAATATGTCAGATTTCATACAACCCCCTGTGCATTTGTCTTGCTCCTCTTGCCTACATATCTGACATTACAACATTTCTATAGCCACTCTGGCCAACTTTCAAAGGCTTTTTGTTCATCTCTACAACAGGACCTTTCATAGGATGTTAACCTTCCCTTCATTGCCTAGTTACTTTTATTCACCTTTCAAATCTCCATTTAAGTGGTACTTCCTCAAACAAGAATTCTAATCTGGCCAGCTCTGAAGAGTCTCAAATCTGTAATCCCACCTGGTTGGGAAGTAAAAACTGGGAAGCTTGAGATTCAAATCCATTCTGGGCCAAAAGTAAGAGAGACTCCATTGAGAAATCAACAAGCCATGCATACTGGTACACACCTATAGGTACCTCAGCCAAAAAAAAAAGAAAGAAAGAAATCCTACCATAATAACTAAAGCAAAATATGGGCTGGAGAATTGGCTTAAATGGTAGAGCATGTACCTAGCAAGAATAAGGCCCTGAGTTCAATCCTAGAATAGCCAAAAAGAACAAAAAGAAAAAAAATCAAAGATTAAAAAAAAAGAATCCCTCAACCTAATTAAGCCTATTTGCATCAGCTCTTACATAACACCATCTATGGCCTGTCTGTGCCTGTGGTTACTTAATGCAAGAATCAAATCTTGTTTTGCTTGCCATTTTATTATCTTCTCTTATTTATTTTTTTTTGGTCCGGTCATGAGGCCTGAACTCTGGGCCTGGGCACTGTCCCTCAGCTCTTCAGCTCAAGGCTAGCGCTCTACCACTTGAGCCACAGCGCCACTTCCAGCTTTTTTCTTTTTTTGCTTATGTGGTGCTGAGGAATCGAACCCAGGGCCTCAGGCATGCAAGGCAAGCGCTCTACCACTGAGCCACCTTCCCAGCCCCTATCATCTTCTCTTAAAGTATGTTTTTGGTTTTTTTGTTTTTGTTTTTGTTTTGGTCCGGTTGTAGGGCCTGAACTCTGGGCCTGAGCACTGTCCCTCAGCTCTTCAGCT